AGCCACAATAGATAAATATACAAATGGGCAGAAGGACTTTTTTTAGAAACTTCTCTACATCTAATCTTCAAGTTCTTCATTCAACAAGCTACTTTAAGTGCAATGACTGTTATTATCCAGGCAAAACTGACAGTTGATCTGCTATTTGTGGGACCTTGCTGGTTGCAATCCAATTTTACACAGAGTAGGTTTGGCAGATGCTCTTTGTGTTTTGATATTTCCAAAGGAAGCTTGGAACGCATTAAATTAATGCTCTCTCTGTGCCACGTCTCTGTGTTGGTCTTAGCACTAAGCATAAATCTATATGTCTGTGCTAAGTATGTCAGATTATGGAAACTCACCCATAAACCTGTTAACACAATATTTAGGATTTATAACAAAATTATACATTATACAGGGCAAGCGTTATGATGTAGTAAAATATCACCAATTAGATTATAAACATGACATTTATTAGCAATTTTGAAAAACTTAAAGGGCACCAATGCCATTTTTTTCAAAAGGTTGATGCTTTTAAAATCTGATACATAAATATCCTGAATTGGTTTCCTGTCATCTTTAACATTTTCATGGAATTATCAATAAAAAGCTCTCTTCAAATTACTGCTTCTGCCGATATTTAAAATTACTACATAAGTGTTTACTGTCCAAAGAGTCTTACACAATGTATTTCATATTCATGTTGATCAGAGGATGTGGAATATTAATACTTTGAAGGGTATATATGAAGGAATGGTACGGAAAAAATAAATAAAAAAAAACGTTGGTCACTCAATCCACGATTGTTTGTGGGACATTGCTGTGCACAATTGGCTGCCGCGGGATTTACAAACAGTAACTCAAGGTCTTTATTGGGGAATTCTATTGATAACCAGCAGTACATCTATCCTGACTTGTGGGATCCTCTTTTGAAGTGTAGGAATTAGATGGTGAGAACCCTTAAATTGAACGCAATGTACTTTTGGTTACTGGCAGGAATCCCCGTTAATCACTGAATTATTATTATCCCGCGATGAACTGTCCTTTTGCGACCAAATAATTTTTTTGAAGAGGAGTGGGAAGAGAGAAATCCAAGTCTTATCCCTTAAGATATTATTTTAAAAAATTGGTCACTCAATCCATGACTGTTTGTGGGACACTGCTGTTCACAATTAGCTGCTGAATTTTGTCCACAAAATATACAGTCAATTAATTTTCCACTATATTCTGTGAAGCGCTTTGATACGTCTCGATGACATGATAGGCATTATATCAAATGCAAGGATTATTATTATTATTATTGAAAAACTTAAAGGGCACCAAAGCCATTTTTTTCAAAAGGCTGATGCTTTTAAAATTTCAACAACTTGGGGATAAAGAATGGATTAATAATGCAGAATGAAACCTAACACTACAAAACAAATTTTCAAAAACAAAATGAAAGGCAAACCAGGAAGCAATCAGTCCCTCCTTCCTTTCGTTTAAGGCATGGCTCAAAATTGACCTCTTTGAACACGCTTTTGGTCACTTTTCCCCTTCTTACCCACCTCGGTTCACATTCTCTGGCTTGGGTGCCCAAGCTGCATCGTCAAACACTTTGAGTCCTCCTCTTGATGTGGAAAGGCACTATATCAATTTAAATTGCACTGTACTGTAAAACAATTAGTAAACTTTCTGTTTATCACCACATTGCCTACAGGATTGTGGAGTCCTGTAGCTCACTGGTTAGAGCTTTTGTCTCACAAGCGAGAGACCTGGGTTCAATTCCCGGCAGGATGAAACTTTGGCCAAGTTTCCTTACTCCACGTGCCTCTATTTGCCTAGTAGAAAGTAGGAACCCGGCTAGTTAGTCAATTGGCTGCCGAGTTTCGCCCAAAAATATACAGTTGATTCACTTTACAGTATATTCTGTGAAGCGCTGCGAGACGTCTCGAAGACGTGATAAGATGCTATATCAAATGCAAGGATTATTATTATTATTATTATATATCACTACTTTTTTCCTATTTTTGCTTTAGTATTCTCACAAACCTTTTTTTTAATTTTATTTTTACTTTTCCTATCTCTTCCCCAATTTACCAATTCCTAGCTTTGAAAGCACTCACTTTCCTTCAGCACCAAACTTCACTATTATTCTTAGCCTGGAAAAAGATACTACTTGCAATTCTTATGCCATAATTTCATTGAGGGATGGGTAAGGTTAGAAACCTGTCACTGGCCAGAATAGAGTCTAATTACTAATGGAACAACAAATACAAATTTATATAACTCGTTTCGTGTCTTGAGGACATCCCAAGACACTTTCAAACTAATGTCTTGGCACTAGAGCTGAAATTTTCTAATTTGCAATATTCACACAGGAAGTGTTATTTTGAGCCTCCTTTGTTGTCCTGAGAAATTGGGTTGTGTTCGGTGTTTTTCAAAAGCTGGCAAAGTTTGAAAAAGGCTGAGACTGAAACAGCTGGCCCACAGGGAGTTTGGGGATTTATTCTCCTTCTTTTATTCAGAAACCGCAGTTAGCGCTTGACACCCTTTTTGCAAATATAGGAAATTAAACTCCAGTTTCATATGGTATCCAGATTTCTTTGAGCAGCCACAGGCACAGAGGATGAAGACATCATGGCATGTACTCGTACAATTGACATCTACAAACAAGATTTTCTTTCAGTATTCACACATGGAACAAATGTTTTGTATTCCTATCGGACAATCGTATCAGCAAAAGGAACTGACATTGGGAATTCATTGGTAACTTGTGCGCAGAGCACACCACCGTACTGTAAGATGCAGTTGCCTCACCAACCTCTATGGCTGATCATTGTGAAAATGGATATATCTAAAAATAAGTCTGTGGTCCTCCACATGAATACATTTTGCTAAAGGATTCCTGGCAGATGTGAGCTTTCCAAGATCTATGGGTGAAATAGCTAACTATTGGACCACGAGCCAAGATGAATGACCAGATGCATTACATTTCAGAGCTCTACAATTTCCTTGAAGGACAGTGCAAACCTTCGACTATCTTGCTCCTGGGTTATGTCCAGCAAAGACACTACTAGCATGTAGATCCACATGCTTGCATCCACTTGGAAGGTCTTATTCTGTCCCTTGTAGGCTACACTTTCTAGCTGTTTGCAGGACATTGCTGTGCTCAAATTAACTACCACTTTACAATAAATCATATGAAGAGCTTTGAGATGTTTCAACAATGTGATAAGGCTCTATATGAAATTATTAATGATAATTATTATTATTATTGATCATGCTGACCCTTCAGTCTGAACATGCTGTCATCTCTCACTGTACACTTAGGAAATAAGTATCTAACTGGTTGCATTGCAAAACCCAAATGGACACACAGAAACTGTACTCCGGAGTTAGATTGCTTCACAGTGGATTTCCCTTGAGTTGGACGGAATGTTTTTCCAATTAATGGAAGGAGTCCACATTGGTTTGACTCAGATTTCTTTTTGAGGATTCTCATTCAGAATCATCACAAATTAGATTTTAATACTATCAAAATAACATTTTCCTAGCGTTTTTCTACATACTGCTCATAGTTCACAAGTTTCCTTTCCTTGCAAGTACCCAGATACCGTTAATGTAACATCAAGAATTAACGCCAGATCAAACAGGAAGAACATAATGTAAAATCTGGCCCGCCAAATCTTAATTGGCTGCTTAATACTCACCTGGGTCCAAACAAGGTAGAATTTGACATAACTGAATGGCATGGTGTAAAGAATGCTCTGTGTTCTTTGTGCTTATTGATGCCAAAGTCCACATGGCAGCAAAGACCAGAATAGATCCCTGGAGTGCTCAACAGTGACATTCGGTAAAATAAAGGAAAAGGTTCCGTGTACCATTAGTTTTTCACCACTCACTTAGACAAACATGATATTTGCCAAAAGTAAAAGAAAGAGAGGAGAGAATGGAGAGGAAGGAAAAGAAAAAAAGAATGAAAATGAAAGTGAAAGAATGAAAAAGTGACAAGTTCACTCAACCATAGCAGTCAAAGAAATCAAACAGTATCAGGATCTAAAATATCATGTAATTCTCTCCATTTCCCTATTTGATTTAATCAGCAAAAGCTTATCGACCCAAGACCAAGGGAGGATGGATTTTGAAAGCTGTGCTTCTCAGTACTCAAAGGTTTAATTACTTTCAGGCCTGTTGCCTCAGCAATTAGTTATTCGAAATTCCACTGTGGAAGTATTCTACTATTTTTAGTGATCGTCACATGATAGATAATAACAATAAATAATAATATTCCTTGCATTTGGTATAGTGCCTTTCACATTGGCAGAAATTGGTTGAGTGTGACATTGTGAATCAAAATCACAGGATATACCGTAAATTGTAGTGACTGTGTTTGTGGGCAAATGCGGCAGCCAATTTTGTGCACAGCCATGTCCCACAAGCAGCCATGAAGTGAGTGACCAATTTTATTTGGGATTGTTGGACAGGACTCTGGGAAGAACTCCTTTTTCTTTTTGAATCTTTAACGTCCACCTGAACAGGCAGGTAAGTTTCACATCTCATCCAAAGGATGTCCATGAAACATATCCATCATGAGCGGTCGTACCTCAACACTCTAACCTCGTTGTACCAGAATCTAAATGTGCCCATGTGATGGGATCTATCACATGCTGACTGCGCGCAACAGTGATCATTTCATCAGTTGTGTATGACACAAAATCTGACTAGAAATAAGCAACAACAAGAACATTATTTTTGACAGTCAACACGAGATAGGCTCCAGAATCTCACATTCGTCCAGTCAACAGAAGTTGGTTGAGCGTGACATTGGGAAGCGATGCAGCAAGTGTTTCTATTAAGAGATTGTTGATGTTCTCTCATCCAACCTGCTCACATACCCATCTATACTGCTGCCAAAGCACTGTTGAATGTGTGACAAAATATATATTGTATTATTTAACTTTTACATCTTGTTTTCTTTTTCCTTCTTATTTCTATCCCCTGACCCAACCGTCGGTACATCTTAAAAGGGTATAGATTACCTTAGTAACTGGTATTTCTTTGGATTTTGATTCAAAGAGATGTTCTAGCTTGGAGATGTCCACCTTCACAGGCTCCAGTCGGGCCCAAAGGGTCTCTTTGCATCGTTTATGATTCTTGTATCGCCAGTCAATTGGTCGGAGTTCATTCCAAAACAGCCTGATGGTCTTCTTCTTCTTCAGGAATGTCGGCTCACCCCTGGTTAGGTGAGGGACCCAGGACACTGAGGGACCCGGATAGGTGGGGCTGGGGGCAAACACATACCGGGCACTGGAGGAGGCGGTGGAGGAGGCGGGCACCCAAGTGGAGGGGGCGGAGGAGGCATGCCCATAAAAGGGGGCGGAGGAGGTGGGGGAGGAAGTATCGAGTCTCCAGAACTAAGTAAACATTCCATGTCTAACACGTTCACGTCATCCTCTTCCTCCAAATCTGTGAAGTCCATATCTTTGATTTTCAGTTCCCTGGGATTTGCCATCAGTTGATCCCAAATATAATCAGACTCCTTTTTAGGCTGTGCTGCCACTTTATCCACAGCCTTCTCAGCCACTTCAGAATCAGACGAGCCTGATCCTTTGCTTATCTCACCACTGTTGAACTTCTCAGTAAAAGCCCTCACGCTCCCTTGGTTCTCTAAATGGTCAATCTCCATTTTCTTCACATTTTCTTCACAGGCTTGTTTGTTGGCCTGTAGGATAGAGATCCGGCTCGCCAAGCTTGCCAAAGACTCTTCTTTTTCTTCCTTCTCTTTATCATTGAGCTCTGCCTCTCCCTCATCCTCTGCCTTTTTGTTCTGAGAGTACAACATGTCCAGCATGAAGCGCTTGTTGTTGAGAATGTTACTGCACTGATCATTTACACTGACTTCTTTGATGCTCTGCGTCCATTGTCCTGTCATTGTATGGAACAAGAGGGAAAATGTGATTAAAACATAGCAACATGGGGCACTGGGTACTGGTTCAACAATAAGGTGAAGATTGCACTTTGTGATGGCCAGCGTAACGGCATTGGAGTGCTGGCTCGTATCATACCGGCCCAACATGAACTGGGATTGCCCAAGTGCGAAAGACTCTTAACTTGTAAATGTCGTGCATGACTGCTTCTTGACTCAGTGTGTCAGGGAGCCCACAAGGGCCAGTTTCCTTCTTGACTTAGTTCTAGTCATTGGCCCAGACACTATTCGGGAAATGGAAGTAGTTGATCAACTAGGGGACAGTAACCACAGCTCAGTAATCTTCAGTTTAACTTGGGAAACAGCACCAGCGCGCACCCAAATTCTGGTGTACAATTTTACTCCAGGGTATGAGGATTCAGCGAAGGGACATATAGACTGGGAGGCATTACTCAGGGACAAATTGGTTGAGGATAAAAGTATATCTCGAAAGAATGTTAAACAGTGAATGCAGGACAATTATATACCCAAGTGCATCAGGGGCCAAAATGACAAAAACACACCAAAATGGATCAACAGGAAAATAAAAAGGGAGATAAAGAAGAAAAGGAAGAATTAGAATGCTTGTCGAGAGAAACAAAATGGTAACCATTGGGCTAAATACAGACTGTGCAGCAAGAGAATAAAACTGAGATTAGGGGAGCCAAGAGAGAGTTGGAAATGGACAAAGCAACAAATGCAAAATGTAACTTCAAAACATTCTTTCAATATTACAACAGGAAAGATAGTCAGGGAGGGTGTTCAAATCCTAAAGGATTCAAATCGGGTTGAATAAGAGAATGAATAGGAGATAGCAAACATATTAAATTACTAGATTTTTTCCCAAGAAGATTTTACAATGGAGGGCACTAAAATCATGCCCAACCCCCACTTAGCAGACAGCAAACTTTAATGCAAAGGAGGCTGAGATTCGGAATGAATTCAAGGGTCTTAAACCTAAAAATTCCCTGTGCTGGATGAATTGTACTCCAGGGTAGTTATGGAGACAAGGCCGGAGATTTGTGCAGCACTGGCAGACAACAGACTGGAAGCAAGCAGATGTTGTTCCCATATTCAAGAAGGACAACAAAACTAAATCTGGCAACTATAGACCCATTAACCAGAAAGGGTAGTTCTTGTCTGACTAATCACATAGACTTTTTTTGAGAATGTGTCAGTTTAGATGGACTGTAGGAAGCCATATAATGTAATATTCTCAACTTCCAAAGGATGTTTGGTAATGTACCACATGCAAGATATGGTCACTGGATATCAAAGGCAAGGCATGGACATGGATTAAGAATTGGCTGAAGGGAACGAAGCAGAAGGACTTTGTTAGGGGAGCTAGGTCAAAAAAAGCTAGGTAAAAAAAGGGTGAGATACTAAGCAGGGCTATACAGGGCACCATCTTGCCTGGATTCGCAGACTCGGTGTAAGATAGCTACATTTGCAGATGACATCAAGTTGGAGAGAACTGTGGAATCAGAGGAGGCAACAAAGATCTTCCAAAAAAAAGCTTGATAGGGTATGCAAAGTACTCCATGAATGGAATTGAACTTGCCAAGGGGAAAGCTGAAAAAGATCTAGGGGTGTTAGTTGACTCATGGCTCACTATATCAAAACAGTGTGAAGCAGCAATAAACAAGGCAAACAGGATCCTGGGTTACATCGCTAAGTCAATTGAGTTTAGATCCCCCAGATGTCATTTGTCTGGATGTACAATGCTCAGACTGCATCTTGAATATTGCATACAGTTCTGGTCACCGCAACATAAGAAGGCTGTTCAGGTTCTAGAGACAGTGCAGAGGAGAGCAATGAGGATGATTCCCAGGGTTAGAGGAATGAGCCAAGAGCAACGACTAGGTAGGCTAGGCCTCTTCAGTCTTGAGAATAGACACTCAGAGGGGACCTCAGAGGGGTGTACAAAATTTTATAAATGAAACTCAGATGAATACTTTAGAATGTATCATGACAGTAGAACAAAAGGAAATATGTTTAAATTGTAAAGGGAAACTTCAGGACTGATACCAGGAAATGTTTCTTTATGCAGAGGGTAATCAATGACAAGAACAGGTTGCCAGGAAAGGTGGTGGAGACCAGGACACTAGACTAATTTAAAAAGCAGCTTGATGCAGTAATAAGGAGATGGTAGGGTGGGTGTCCTGGAGGGATGAGACTGGATGGGCCAAAAGTCCTTCTTCACCCAGACAAATCTTTTGATCTTGTGACTTAATTCTCCACAGACTAGTTACTCTCATCAATTTCTAGCAGCAGGATTCATTCTGTTTAAAAAGCAATGTTTGAAATCAAAGGTACCTCTGCTTCCCTCCCCCCCCAGCTGAATATGGTTCCCACCTCTCCTAAAGAAGCTGGTCAAAGGCCTGTGAAGAGCATGTGAATATGTTCAAACGTGTGGAGATAAACCGGTACCAGCGGAAATGCACAGCTTCACACAAGAACATGTTAGTCATAAATAAGATGGGCTGCTTAGTGATCATGGAATCTATTAGAGTTCTTCAAAGCAGCTAAAAGTTTTGAGACTATAGATAGTGAAAGATTATTCCTACTGGTTGGTAATTCAATAACTAGATGGCAAAACTCGGTTTGTCCCGGCTGAGTTAAGGAGGACATTTGAACAATCCCGTTCTCCAGCAGAAGGAATAAGGAGTGAAAGAAGGAAGGGCAATGATACAATTAGAGCAAAATATTGACAACAAAAAATGGTAACTGTAAGTTAAAGCAAATGATTTTATCTCAGATTGTAGTGAATCTAGGTGCAAATGTGTTCTGATTTCAATGTTGGTATGGAGCTCCGTTTAAAGTTAATGTGACTTCACGGTATTGCAAATAATGCTTATGTGGCCTTTCTCAGAAGTGATTGACAGAAGCCTCTGAGTTGTGTACATAGGGATGGAAGACATGACATGTGGTGTACATTATGGTCACTCCCACACATCTGCATGGACAGTGCAGTAGAGATACTAAGATATGAAAAATTAATCGACATATGTTGTCAGGAAACAACTCAGCAGATTCATTATGTATCCTTCTTGCAGATGGACTGATTGGTGCAGTGATTTCACAAATTGTGGTTACATTTGTGGGGTTTATAAACCGCATAAACTCCACAGATGTGGGGTAATAGCCCCTGTGTTAAATTATCGCCATCAATAGTGACCACAAAGGGAGAAATTGCAATCATTTCAGGGCAGAATGCCCTTCTGCATTCCAGAGAAGGGCTCTACCCCAGCTTGTTTCTCAGCTCAGTCAAATAATTTGGTTAAAATAAAGTGCTGACATTGCTATAGGAACATAGGAACATGAGTAGGCCATTCAGCCCCTCGAGCCTATTCCGCCATTCTATTGGTTCATGGCTGATCTGTACCTCAGCTCCAAATACCCGCCTTTGCCCTATATCCCTTGATACCCTTAACTAACAAGAATCGGTTTTAACTTTTGTTGTTTAATAATTCATTTTTAATCATGATCTGGTGAAGGACTGTGAAACTCTCATTTTCCTCCAGCTCAAAAAACACAAGACAACAACAACAACAACAACAAGATTCCATTTATAAAGCGTCTTTCACGTCAGGAGGACGTCCCAAGGCGCTGCACAGTTGGGTCATGACCCGAGCAGGGGGGAAATGGTCAGGGGAGGGGAGGGGGCGAGGAGGGGGGAAATGGTCAGGGTGAGGGGAGAGAAGGGAGGGAGCGAGGAGGGGGAAGAGAGTCGAGAGGGGAGCTGAAGGCACGGTCAAAGAGAAAGGTTTTGAGACCGGCCTTGAAGGAGGAAAGGGAGGAAGCAAGGCGAAGGCACTGGGGGATGGAGTTCCAGAGCCTGGGGCTGAGAGGCTGAAGGCCCGACCACCGATGGTAGGGCGGTTGGGGCGGGGGACGTGGAGCAGACCGGAGCCAGAGGAACGGAGGGTACGGGCAGGTAGGTAGGGGGATAGTAGGTTGGAGAGGTAGGAGGGAGCAAGGCCGTGAATGGCCTTGTAGGTGAGGATGAGGATCTTGAAATCAATCCTCTGGGGGATGGGGAGCCAGTGGAGGCGAGCGAGGGTGGGAGTGATGTGGTCGCGAAGCCTGGTGCGGGACAGTACACGAGCTGCAGAGTTCTGAATGACCTGCAGCTTGTGGAGGGAGGTGGCGGGAAGGCCGGCGAGGAGAGAGTTCCCATAGTCCAGCCTTGAGGTGACAAAGGCGTGAACCAGGGTTTCAGCAGCGTGAGGGGTGAGGTAGTGCCGTAGTCTGGCGATGTTCCGGAGGTGATGGAAGGCGGTGCCAGTTGTGGTGCGGATGTGAGGGAGAAAGGACAGCTCAGGGTCGAACAAAACGCCGAGGTTCCTGACTGGCTTTGAGAGGTGGAGAGTGCAGCCTTGGATGCTGATGGTGTCAGCGCCTGAGGTGCGGAGGCGCTGACGTGAGCCAATCAGGAGGGCCTCGGTTTTTCGCACGTTGAGCTGAAGAAAGTTGTCTCTCGTCCAGGACTCGATGTCGGACAGGCAGGCTGTCAGGACATCGGTGGTCGTGGAGTTGAGAGTAGAGGAGGAAAGGTAGAGTTGGGTGTCATCCGCATACATGTGGAAGTTAACCCATGTCTGCGGATGATGTCACCAAGGGGGAGCATATAGAGGGTGAAGAGGAGGGGACCAAGGACAGAGCCCTGAGGGACACCACATGAGACAGTACGGGGGGTGGAGGAGAAGCCATTCGTCGAGACAAAGTGAAGACGGTGAGAAAGGTACGACCTAAACCATTCAAGGACAGTGCCTTGAAGGTTGAGGTGGGAGGACAAGCGGTGGAGTAGGATAGCGTGGTCGACCGTATCGAATGCTGCCGATAGGTCGAGGAGGACGAGGAGACAGAGGGAGCCCTGGTCACAGATGGTCAGGATATCATTGGTGACCTTGACCAGGGCAGTTTCTGTGCTATGGGCAGCACGGAAACCTGACTGAAGGGGTTCGAAAAGAGAATGGGTGGAAAGGAAAGAGCGCAGTTGGGAGGCGACAACTCTTTCCAAGACCTTGGAGAGAAAGGGGAGGTTGGAGATGGGCCGGTAGCTTGATAGCTGCGACGCATCAAGGGAGGGTTTTTTCAGGGTGGGCGTGATGATGGCAGTTTTTAATGGAATGGGGACAGAGCCAGAGGAGAGGGACAGGTTGATGATGTCAGTGATATGTGGGGCAAGAAAGTGGAGCTGGGAGATAAGGAGTGGAGTGGGGATGGGGTCAAGGGAGCAGGTGGTTGGTTTTAGGGATAGGATGAGTTCAGTGACAGAGGGTGGGGAAACGGGTACGAAGGTGTGTAGGGGAGGATGGGTAGGAGTCGGAGTGTGGGAGGGAAGGGGTGGGTGGTGGGTGGAAGTTGGAGGGGAAGTGACCGCGGAGCGGATTCCCTTGATCTTGGATTCAAGGAAATCCAGCATCTCCTCGCAGTGAAGGTTGGAGGAGATGACCTGCGCGGGGTGGCGGGGGGGACGGAGGAGTCGGGTTGTGGTGGAAAACAGTAGCCTGGGGTTGTTCTTCGCCTCCAGGATTATCCTGGAGTAGAAGGACGACTTGGCCGAGGCTAGAGTGGAGCGGTAAATTTTGAGGAGGTCCAGCCAGATTTGTCGGTGGACCGTTAGGCCAGATTTGACACAGGTGCGTTCAGCAGCCCGCACCTGGCTTTTCAGTGAGCGGAGGTGGGTGGTGTACCAGGGGGAGGAGCGGGAGTAGGAGACAGTGCGGGAAGTGATGGGGGCAAGAGTATCGAGTGTGGAGGAGAGGGTATTGTGGAGGAGGGAGAGAGGAGAAGAGGGGTCGGTGAGGGTTGAAGGCCAGAGGGAGAGGAGTTCAGAGGACTCCAAGGCATCGGTTAGGGATTGTGGGGGTAACTTCTTCCAAGGGCGGTAGAAGATGGTGGTGGGTCTGGTGGAGGTGGGGAGGGGGGTGGAGGTGGTGAAGGAGATGAAGTGGTGGTCAGAGATGGCCTTGTCGGTAATAGTGACATCCGAGACACTGACACTGAGACTGTCAACTATCTGGCTAAGGCCTGAAGCCTCCTGGTAATTTGGATAATGGGAATTCAGAGCCTAGTAGATGGAGGATTTCAGGCTTCGCACTCATGGTTGAGATCCTGACTGTGCCACTGTGGTATATGACATGCTCAGCCAGAAACTTTGTCCTGAAGAGAGAGGGACAACTAGCCCTGGTCACTGTCACATACCAGTGTCAAGCATACTCTTCACTTTAGGGAATGGCGCATGTGATGAGAAGGATTGAAAGATAGAGAGTAAATAAAGTTCACATAGAAACCCTCCACACCCCCCCACCCACATTAAAATCATGCCACAGGCTACTGAATTTCAACATTAAAGACTGTTGAATATTCCACAAAAATAAACTGAGTAACGTTTTGTAGGTGACTGTAGGCGCCCTAATGATATCAGAGCGTCAGTTAGAAATTCCGCTGATGAGTCAGAATAGTTACCTATCGTGTTCTTGTGTCACAATGGTGGAAACACCAGAATATTTCAGGGGGAGAAGGAGGTTTGCAGATCATAACAAGGAGAGGAGCAAGGTATAAGCGTTTCATAATGAGCTCCTTGTGTTAATTAGGAAACTCAGCTAACTTTACCCAAATATTTAAACATCGCAACATGTCTACTTCAGATGATTAACACTTACTGTGCTGAGCAAGCAAGACTCTGCACATGTCTCACATTTATTAAGCTGTATAGATGTTCGCCCACAAAATATACAGTCAATTCACTTTACAGTATATTCTGTGAAGCGTTTTGAGATGTCTCGCAGATGTTATAAGGCGCTATATCAAATGCAAGGATTATTATTGTCTATTAAGTTGATCTTATAAAAGTTAATACGTAATTGTGCGTTGGAATGTACATCTAGTGGGATTGCAAGACACAGCATCGATTTTGTCACTACTGATGAATATTGCTGCTCACCCATGCTTTGAGAGTCACCCTGATGTTTAATACAATGCATCATTGTGAGAGAAAGTGACAGAAAATGGGACGGTTACCGTTTTCATTGTCACTGGTCACTTTGTCTTCCCTTTCTTCTCTTTCTAAAGTGCTGCTGGCTGAAGAGATGCTGGATGCTGAGCAGTTGTCTTTCTCATTCACTTCCTCATTCTGCCTCTCCTTTTCGCTCAGCAACGCATTCTCCTCCGCATCGCGCTCAGGTCCCTGCTCGTTCTCCAGCTCCGGTCCCAGCTCTGCGGCTCTTGTCTCTGTGGCCCCCTCCGTTTCTCGTTCAGCTTCTGATTCAGGCTCCAGCTCAGGCTCGGGCTCTGGCTCAGGTTCAGGCTCCTTCTCACTGGCAGAGGCTAACAGGAAGAGAAGGAGGAGGGGTGCTTAGATACTCTTAAAGCTGTAGCACTTCAATGTTAGTTATGTACTGCATGCTGCCATCTGTTTTATTGGTACAAGTAAAAGTTACTGAGCAAAAAGACAGGAACGTTTTAAAACTTTGATTCTGCAATCCACAGTAGAATATTAAAAATTTAAATTTAGATTACTTGCACTTTCTATCATTTATCTTATTTCCTCCTTTTTTTGGTAATGTATTTTCCCTTGTTTTTTTTAAATGCTGAAGTGATGAGGAGAGTCAGTGGATCTGCTCTCAGGCTGCTGCCAATGTCATTCTCCTAGCAGCAGCTAAGAGTGATCTGGCATTACTGACCCTTAACTCTTCTCTCCCTGTGGGAGATATCCACACACAGATGGTTAACATTGGGAAACCACCACGTGGAGAATTACAGAATGGATGTATGTACCATTGCTCCATTGTTGATACATTGGAGTCCTTTGGTCACTTAACCTTTCCTATTCAAAGGGTGGAAGTTACATGCGATGAAACCAAATGGCGCATGCCAGTAGGCATCCAAACCAGAGAGTGAGAGATGGACACAGAAGTGGATTGGCAACTTATCATTGGCACGTAGAAGTCACAGAGCCATCCTCTCTGCTTGGGAGGAGGTAATGAAACCCATGATAAAGTTACCATTTCAAACAGACACAATGGTGGGATTTTCACCTGTTCCAGCTTTGGTAAAACAGCGTTACTGAACTTGAAGTGACTGTGCATTTTGTGGGTGAAACGCAGCAGCTAATTGAGTACCGCAGTATCCCACAAATAGTCATGGATAGAATTATCAAATTATTCTTTACTTTTATTTTTTGGAGGGATTATCACCCCCAGAAAGCGATCTGCTAATCGACTAAACAATGGGGTTCCTGCTTACTGCTAGGTAAACTGAAGCGTGTGGAGTAAGGAAACTTGCCTAGGGATTTGCCCTGTCTGGGAATCGAACCCGGGTCCACTCGCTTGCGAGGCTAACCACTACACTACTTGCCTCCATATTTACCCTAAGAAGTCCTGTAGGCTAAGAAGTCCTGTAAATATGCCTCCATATTTACCCCTGTGGAGTCCTGTAGCTCAGTGGTTAGAGCACTCGCTTTGCAAGTGAGAGATCTGAGTTCAATTCCAGGCAGGGCGAAACCTTGGGCAAGTTTCCTTACTCCACACGCCTAATAATAATCCCTCCAAAACCAAAAACAATAATTAAATTGGTCATTTTCAATCTACGACTGTTTGTGGGACATTGCTGTGCGCAATTGGCTGCCGCGTTCGCCCACAAATATACAGTCAATTCACTTTACAGTGTGTTCTGTGAAGCGCTTTGGGACGTCCTCCTGACGTGAAAAGCGCTATATCAAATGCAAGGATTATTATTATTATTATTATAAGAAGCACTTTGTAGCATCCTCCTGACGTGAATGGCATTATACCAAATGTAAGTATTATTATTACAATTGGACATTGCTTCTATTTCCTCCTTGCTACTCCACAATTTCTCCACTCCGACTATGATGCTACTAACCCCTGATGTGCTACAGTTCCATGTGTCAGCTCTTAGGTAAATGGCCATTCATATCTATATATCTGTGCAGGGAGCAGTAGAAAGCTATTTGATTGTGGAGGACAGCCCAGCCCAAGCTTGGCCTTACCAACCAACCATACACCATTTCCAGCAGGGGTCACAAGAGAGCAATTAAGACAGATCTCCTTTGGGATTACTCCTTCCACTCTGCAGACCAGGGATGTTGAGGGTAGTTACAGAGAACCTAAGGCATCACGGATATGATTAGCTCAGTTAGCACAGACCAGTCAACAATCCTGGTATTTAGTGTCAAATCTTTAAGTTGAAGTTACTGTTATCTCATTCTTGCTAACCTGTCCTCCCATCCTGTATCTGCCTCCAGAGCTGCACTAATTTCAATAGTTCTACATAAAGTTGCCTACTGTGTGCCTCCTCCATTGAATGCCAAATATTCAGGTCTAACTTGCAATATTTGTTTAATAATAATAATAATCCTTGCATTTGATATAGCACTTTTCACGTCGGGAGGACGTCCCAAAGCGCTTCACAGAACACACTGTAAAGTGAATTGACTGTATATTTGTGGGCGAACGCGGCAGCCAATTGCGCACAGCAATGTCCCACAAACAGTCGTGGATTGAAAATGACCAATTTATTATTGTTTTTGGTTTTGGAGGGATTATTATTAGGCGTGTGGAGTAAGAAAACTTGCCCAAGGTTTCGCCCTGCCTGGAATTGAACTCAGGTCTCTAGCTTGCAAAGCGAGTGCTCAACCACTGAGCTACAGGACTCCACAAAGATGTTTTAGGAAGAAAACTGTAATTATCAAATCAGTAAAATATCAAATGCGTGAGAGAATGCATTCTTCACCACATTCAATGTTTTAGAATTTCGATAATTAAACATTTCTTCTTAAGAAATCTGTTAAGAAACAACACAAAATGTTCCCATCTCTACAGATAAAACAATTAACATGAACAATAACCACTGGCTGATTTGGTTTGGAAACGTTTAGTTTTTAAATGTTTTACTGATAAAGAGATGCTGGTCCAACAAAATGTTTACAAACATCTGGATGTCTTGCAATAAGGTTTATGTAAATGTCATTTTAACACTTAAATTTGTAATAAATTTCTGAGAGCTTAGATCTGTGGGTTGAACTTTGTGCTGAGCTTAACCTTCTGTAGAATTATACATAGGATGTCTCTCCACCTTATTGATCAAAGTTAAAGCTAACCAAAAAATGTTTAAATACCCATATTAGCATTCCATAGCAGCTGCCTTCAATTAAACTTGGAAAAGGTAACTTTTAGGCCCACACACTTTAAAATTCCCAATCTAGTTTTTGACATCTTTAAAGTGGGGAACATTTACTAAAGAGATAGACGATTATATATAAAACAGCCTACATATAAAACAAAATTACCCTTACATTTGATATAGCGCCTTCAAGTCTGGAAGATGTTTCAAAGCTCTTTATAGGATGTACTGTAAAGTGTGTTAACTGTTTATATCTTTTGTAGACAAATGCAGTAGCCAGTTTCCACACAGCAATGTGTGTTGCTGTCCCACAAATAGTCATGGAGTGACTGGCCAATTTTATCTGGAAGATTCTAGCCAGGACATCGGAATAATCTCCTTTCTCTTATAAAAGCATTGTTTAACTTGGATTCTTATATTGGGGTTTAAAATGTGGTCATTTCTAATTCCAATCATTTAGGTGGGTTTAAATCAGGAATCTTGTTTGAAATCAATTTGCTTTGTGACCCCACTGTAATATAAAAACTTTGCTTTTTAGATTCAGTTCAGTTGACATTCAGATTGGAGTCAATTATTCTGTACATTTATTAACAATTGGAGTCAATTATTCTGTACATTTATTAACAATAATAATTGCAATCTGCATAAGGTAGCAAGTATTTTGTCTTCCTACTCTTTTCACCCGCAAAATACACAGTCAATCAACTTTGCAATACACTCTGTGAAGTTCTTTGATATGTCTCAATGAAGTGATAAGGCTATCAAATGCAAGGATTATTATTATTATTGCTCTAAACCAAAATAACAACAAATTACATTTGCAGAGCGCCTTTCACGTCGGGATGATGTCCCAAGGCGTTGGACAGTCAGGGATTTGGACTCGAGCAGGGGGTTGGGATCAGGAAGGGTGGAGGGCAGGGAAAGTAGGGGTAGAAGAGTGACCGAAAGCATGGTCGAAGAGGAGAGACGTGCCTTGAACCGAAATAACCATGCAATACAAATCTGTCCGTTATTTGATCATATCGTGCACTTGCTTAGATTGCAATGCTGGTAACAGGTACTTGATCTTGTCATTCTCAAGGATCCACATTGAAGATTAGTGAGTATCAGGTTTTAAGAACCGCTATGAATTACACTGAAAATTGCACTGTGTACACAAACAGCAATGAAGGAAGGATTTAACAACAACAACAACAAGATTCCATTTATTGAGCGCCTTTCACGTCGGGAGGACGTCCCAAGGCGCTGTACAGTTGGGTCAGGACCCGAGCAGGGGGAAATGGTCAGGGTGAGGGGAGGGAAGGGAGGGAGCGAGGAGGGGGTAGAGAGTCGAGAGGGGAGCTGAAGGCACGGTCGAAGAGAAAGGTCTTGAGACCGGCCTTGAAGGAGGAAAGGGAGGAAGCGGTGAAGGCACTGGGGGATAGAGTTCCAGAGCCTAGGGGCTGAGAGGCTGAAGGCCCGGCCACTGATAGTAGGGCGGTTGGGGCGGGGGATGTGGAGCAGACCGGAGCCAGAGGAACGGAGGGTACGGGCGGGTAGGTAGGGGGATAGTAGGTCGGAGAGGTAGGAGGCAGCAAGGCCGTGAATGGCCTTGTAGGTGAGGGTGAGGATCTTGAATTCGATCCTCTGGGGGATGGGGAGCCAGTGGAGGCGAGCGAGGGTGGGAGTGATGTGGTCCCGAAGCCTGGTGCGGGACAGTACACGAGCTGCAGAGTTCTGAATGACCTGCAGCTTGTGGAGGGAGGTGCCGGGAAGGCCGGCGAGGAGAGAGTTCCCATAGTCCAGCCTTGAGGTGATGAAGGCGTGGACCAGAGTTTCAGCAGCGTGAGGGGTGAGGTAGTGCCGTAGTCTGGCGATGTTCCGGAGGTGATGGAAGGCGGTGCCAGTTGTGGTGCGGATATGAGGGAGAAAGGGCAGCTCAGGGTCGAACAGAAGGCCGAGGTTCATGATTGGCTTTGAGAGGTGGAGAGTGCAGCCTTGGATGCTGATGGTGTCGGCGCCTGAGGTGCGGAGGCGCTGACGTGAGCCAATCAGGAGGGCCTCAGTTTTGCGTACGTTGAGCTGGAAAAAGTTATCTCTCGTCCAGGACTCGATGTCGGACAGGCTGTCAGGACATCGGTGGTCATGGAGTTGAGGGTAGAGGAGGAAAGGTAGAGTTGGGTGTCATCCGCATACATGTGGAA